CACCTAAATAATTGCTTGTAGGCTGAAGTAATTAATTGTCTTATATTTTTTCCAATAAAAAAGAGATTAAATACTGAGACTTATTTAGTAAAAATGATGGCCAGTACAATGGTTTTGTTTCATTAACAATGAGATTTTTTTTAAATACACATGAAAATAATCCTTATAGTTCTACATTCTGAAGAAGAGTTGTTTATTCTGTAGAAAAAGCTGAAGATTAACCATTAAATTTCTGGGGTGACCTTCATTATTAAATCTCTGCTCTGCAGAGAGCAGCAGACACTCTTAAGGCACGTGCTGGCAATTTCAGCTGCCTTTACTCTTGAGTGCTTCAGTCCCACAAAGCAAGATTGACATCAAAACCAGGGAAAAAAGATGATGAAAGGAATGAACAGGTTCTTCTGGGTACAGAAAACAACTTAAAAAGCTGGACCCTCCAGTCAGAGTGAGTTATGCATTTAACAACTGTGGTGACCTAAAGAATTAAGTGGGGACAGATTTTTCCTTATTTTTACAATAAAGCAACATTTGGAAAGCAGAGGAAAATGTGGCATGGAAATAGAGAGGCAAACAGCAGTCCTAGAAGGAAGGAATAGAGGATTACATAGTGGACTCCTTCTCGAAGGCTCACTGTAAATATTATCCCTGTCCAGTCGGGGGAAGTTTCTTGTGGTGCTTTGGCAAACAACCTTTTTTTCTTGTTGTCACCAAAATACTTTTAAAAGAATATGTTTTTCATGTGATTCCAACTCAAAAGTTTGGCTTAAACCCTACTTCTTTGGAAGGCAATCAAAATTTATTTTTGACTTCACTCAGGCCAGGGTTGGACTGACAGGGAAGTGGATGGACAGTGAATGCACACCTGTATACTGACAGCAGAGAAGATAAAAGTCACTCCTGTGACTGCTGTTAGGGACTTAGGGAAACCTGAGATGGTCCCACACGTAGGGACAGGAAGGGACTTCACATTATCTCATGTGCCCAAATTAAGATGAAGATAATAGTGGTTGTTTTAAGTGTCTTCTCCCAAGTAACAAATGGAAATGGCTTCAAGTTGCACCATGGGATCTTTAGATGGGATATTAGGAAAAATTTCTTCTTCGCTGAAGTGGTTGTTAAGCATTGGAACAGGATGCCCAGAGAAGGGGTGGAGTCACCAGCCCTGGAGGTATTTAAAAGCCACTTACATGCTGTGCCTGGGGCCATGAGTTAGTGGTGAGCCTGGCTGTGCTGGGTAATGGCTGGACTCAAAGATCTTGGATTTCCAACCCAAACTATTCTGTGATTTTGTGAGTAAGAAGAGTGATGCAGAGCACTCTCACTGGAAAGCTGGCTGTGCTAGACAGGCATCTGTATTTGATGCACAAATTCAGGTGATGAGAACATGAAACCTGTCCCTGGTGTAATGCGGCCAAGGCGAGGGCACGCGTTTGACCACCTGACTAAGCAATGTGGAAGCACATTCACTGCTAACTGCAGGAATACATCAGGCCTTGGCTTGATCCACCAATATCCTGGAAGAAAATCACCTTGTGGGATGGGAGAGCAGCCACTAGGTGGGATAACAGCCTAGCACGCAACATGCCTGGGAAATGCATGCACCCAGTCTTGGGCCAACATTGCTCATGGGAGTCTCATAAAGCCCTGAGCTCTGTGTCAAACCTGCCTTGGCTAGGGAGCAGCTTTAGACAACCTCAACATATCTAGAAGTATTCATACATGTTCTCTGTTCTTGCTCTGTTCACATGCAAGTGTTTTTATAGCTGCACTATTGCATAGTTCTATAATTGAACTAGCCACATTTTCAAACATCCTAGCAGGGCTGTTTCAGAGCTCAGGAAGAAAGTCTAACACCATAGTAAAAGAAATGGACAAAGCACTTGAAATCAAAGAATCTGGCTTAATTTGCATCAGAAGGACTTTGACCTGTAGATTTTTCTCCTCTGCTTTATGGAGTAAGAAAAAAAAAAAGTGATAGTCTCACTTTAATATTTACAACAGGCCTTTTATGCATCCTTAATGGCATTCTTTATAAAAAATGCATTAATTGTTCTGTTTTGCTTCAGGCAGGGGGGATCCTTTACAGGATATGCAGCTTAATTTGGATCTTAACAATGACAACATTCCACAAATTAATGTATCTGGGAGACAAACTCCCAAGCAAAGATGTAAGAGCAGGAGCTTGGCCTTTGCACATGAATATTCTTAAGGAGAAAGGAGGAAGGTTTTTTTCTCCTCACAGCTTGAAGCAGATCAGAAAGCTCCCAAAAAGAGCAAGAGAGAGGCCAGCTGCTAAATAGGACATGTAGTGACAGGACAAAAGGGAATGGCTTCAACTATCAGTGGGCAGGGTCAGATTAAATATTAGGAAGAAATTCTTCCCTCTGAAGGTGGTGAGGCCCTGGCACAGGTTGCCCAGAGAAGCTGTGGCTGCCCCATCCCTGGAAGTGTTTGAGGCCAGGCTGGATGGGGCTTGGAGCAACCTGGGATAGTGGAAGGTGTCAGGGCAGAGGGGTTAGGACTGGATGGTCCTTAAGGTCCATTCCAAACCACTCTGTGATTCTATGACATAGATAAAATAAGGCTTAATAAAAAACACCATCTTACACAAAGACATACACAAAGTTTCTGTATGTTTCAGGTTTTCCTTTCCCAGATTTTTGTATATGGAATTGTTGCATTCCCCTTATTCCTCTTTGCACAAGAAGGCTTTGTACAAGAGGATAGGGATTGGGTTGTCCCAAACCCACCTGCAGGCCAAATGATCCATTTATCCTCACATCCACTCCCTCCCAGGAGTCTCTATGACACTGCAAACCTTGTTTCCATTGACAGGTTATAAAAAAAATATAAAATTAAAAAATGAAGTCCATATAAGAAAAGGCCTTACACCGAGGCTTCCATTTGACTTTGCCAGGTGACAGAAAGTGATTTTTGCAGGTTAACAATTTAGTAATAAGTTGTGCATATATGTATGTATGGTTATGCATCCACAGTACTCTGGTAACAGTGAAGATGCTCATTTGGCAGGAGGAGGCTGAAAATGCCTCCTACATGAGTGAAGGATCAAGGGTCTGTAATCCTAAGGAAAATGCAGGAGTTAAATATTAATAAATCCCAGGCAAATCTCAAACAATACTAAGGCCTGCACATTTCTTTCAATTATAATCCTGTTCTGCAAAAGCAGTCTGAGGATATAGGGGCTGTTTAAGATGTCAGGGGGGTGTGAATAGATCACTCTGACAACTAAATTAAGGATGAAAACTATTTTTGGGCATCATAGCATTGATCTCCCTTCCAATGAGAGCCTCACCTGCCTCTGAATCTCTAATAGTAAAGATTATGGATCAGCATGGAAAGGATATTCTGGATGATCCAATGTACCTTTCAGTGTGCAGAAGAATGAATTTGATTTCGTCGCATTTTCAAAAGGATTTAGAATTACAAAACTAAATCAGTATTATTTTTATGTATGAAGCAATAAAAAGGAGAGATACCCTGCTGAGCCTGGATTGCCAAATCCTTGCTAGAAAACAACCATGTATTAACAATTTTCAAATACAGAGCCACAACAAGATAAGTGTAGCAGGAAGGAATCATCATAACATTTCAGGAACTGCTGCTGTCGCTGCCTGCTGTAATTTCTCACTTGTAACAATCAGGCATTATAAGGGAACTTTGGAAAGAACCAGCTCTGTCTCTTACACTGTGACAAGCCAGGCTCAGCTAAAAATAGCAACCAGCAAGGAAAAGAAAATAAACACATCTCACACCACCCTTTGAAAAGTCCTTTGCTCCCCACTGATTTCAGCTGAAAATGCCCACAGAGCCACGCACGCTGCCAGACACCACAAAGGGCTTCCATGTCTCCAGACTCACTTGGGCTTGGAATTAAAAGAAAAGCTGCAGTTGCTGAGCAATGGGCACAAACTCAGCCTCTCTGTGCCCCCTCTTCAGCACCACTTCTGCTCCTCCTTCCCCCTTGCACCTCGTCTTCTTGCAAGATCAATTTGAGGTGTGCAGGTCAAGAGCTCAGGATCCAGGAGATGAAGAGCAAAGCGTGGCAGCAAGGCCCTTTGACAGGCTGAGAAGTGACGTGCAGGTGCCACAGGAAATCAGCCTCTGACATGGGACCTGAGAGCCCTGATGTGCTCACGGCATGAGTGCATCTTTTATTCCTCCCCAGCACCAAGGGAGAGATGTCAGTCACACGGCAAAGGGCACAGCAGAGCCACGGGGACCAGAACCTTCTACAGTGGCAAGGTTTCATGCTGTTTCTGTAATTTTTTGTCTGGCAAGTGAAATGTATTTCAGCAGAAGGTGGGAAAGGACTTGGAACAAAATTGATCTTGGCTGAGCAAACATTTGACAACGTTCTGTGGGAAACAACCATCTGTCTTGGGAGATATCAACTCCAAGAGATATTGATGGCACTAAAAATATCCGCCTTAGTCCACAGTCCCACGGCATTCCGTTTCAAAGCTTCAATCCTTCAGCAGTAAACCTTTCTATTTATTTTTATTTTTAGCGTGTTGACTTACCAGGTGGTTAGTGAAAGGCTCTGGTTTGTTTGAGATGTAGCCACACAAGTTTCTGGTGCCTGGGATGAGTGGAAACTAGAGAGGAGCTGCAGAGAGATAATTAATATGGATTAAATGGAAAAAGGGCTTTGTGCTCTGCTTCACAAGTACAGACCGTACACAGAGATGGATGTCTCTATCTCAGAAGAGCTTCCTGGAGCAGTTTGGCAGGCTGGTTTCTTCTGAGAAACATGAGAGGAGAGAAAAAAACAGTACTCTTTGAAAGAAACTTTTAAAACATACCATGAATTCAAAACAGCTCTTCCCTCCTCACTGTCAAAGAAGCTAACAGATTTATTGAAGCTGACAAACAGTCCCCATCCCATGAATCATTAAGATTTAGACCATTTTACCTTCCATGTGTCACTAAAAATCAAGATAATACAAAGTTTTACAAGGAAAAAGGGAAGATGGGGCAGCTTAACTTCACCAATGGATGTTCAGCGCAGAACTTGTCACATCCATTTTTGTATCTGTGGTTTGCCAGCCTCCTGCTACCCAGGCAGGTGCTTTTCCACGGGCCTGTGAAGTAATAGTTATTTTTACCACAAACTGGAGATCTCACTCCAGGGCATATTTCATTTTGCAAAAGGCATTCTCTTGGCCATCAGGGGTCTCTGTAGGGAGTATCAGAGATGAGAGGATTACAGGCAAAAGCCTTGAGTGGTTCTGCCATACCTGCTCCAGTGTCTCTTGCTCTCTCCACCTGTAATTTGTGCAAACTCCCCACCACAGCCACACCAACACCCACATTCCCTCACAGAGTCCCAGCTGCAGCAACAACAAGATCCTCATTGCACGGGGACAACCTGCATTTTACTCTTTAAATCCCTCCCCCATCATATAAAAAATACTGGGGTATTTTTTAGGGTTGGTTGTTTTTATTTTTTTTCATTTTCTGGTGGTTTTCTCCTTCTGGGAGAGTGTCTGCATTGGCTTTATGGTTGTTGCTCAGGAGAGTCAATAACAAGTGCTGTGCACTTGAGCCAAGAGGAAGGACAAATGATCCTTCCTGCTGACACCCCCTGCCTCCAGGGACCCCACCAGGAACCCCAGAGCCAGATCTGCCTTCTCCATCTTTAGTGTCTGCTAAAGAGGATCTCTGTTCTGTGCCCAACACAGCAATCCCATGGGAATCCATGAAGAATGCCTTGCAGAAGGGTGTTTTTTCAGTACACTCAAAGAAATTATGCTGAATTCAGTCAGATACTGCAGTGATGGAGGCAGAGAATGAAATGACTGCCTCATGCAGGTAGACTCAGGTGGATAAAGGAAAGGGGGTGCCCCAGTACAGGGACTGAAAAGGAGAATTCCCACATCTGGAATAGTTTAGGGAAAAAACCCACAATAAAATACTTCAGGAAACAGTAGCTTCATGGAATAGTGAATACTACACGTCGAAGAAAAGGGAGTCAGGCTTTGTTTCCTGGGCAACTGGGGAACCATAAAGAGACTGGATCACAGTTAGGAAAGAAGTGGAAACATCTGAAATAGGAAGGCAGGAAGGAGAAGATACAGCACGAGAAGGAGAAAAAAGGTTGATGGGATGCATGCTTTTTAATGATTTTTTTTTTAAAGTTGGGTTTATTTGCATGACAGCTCTGAAACAGGACAAGGTACAGAGAAGGGCAATGCTGCATAATGTGAATGAGGAAAGGGAACTATATGGCTTTTTCATTTAAATGCATGAAAATCTCCGAGAGGTCTGTGTGTGTTGAGAGGATGGGTATGAATTTAGAAGAATTATGCTGAAGTAAACAGTGACTCCAGTGAGAGAACAAACTCAAGCTGAAGGCTCATAAGCACAGCTGAAATTAGGAACTGTGCTAATAGTCCCAAGCTGTGTTTCAGGTTGAGGCTGAGTGGAGCACTGACTCAACAAACACATCAGCAAGACAGAATTTAACACCAGAAAATCCTCTGTAGTTCTTTGGAAATGAAATGTGAGGCTACAGTCACAGGGACCTGGCTGCAGGGATGGGATGGATGCAACTGCTGTGGAATGCACCTGCCCATCCACAGGGATCTCCTGACCCCACTGAGGTGGGTGTCCAAGGGTAGTAAGATGCCAAACTGTCTCTAAGAGCCACATCCTGCTGATACTCTCTGCCACCCCCATCCCACTCTTTTTCCCTGGTAGCAGCACTGCCCTGCAAGGGAAGGATGGAAACTGGCAAAGTGACTTACTGTGGAAAGAGCAGAGGAATGGAAAACCACTAGATTCAGGCCTGGACATACCCACGTAGGGGACAGGCACCCCAGAGTGAAGGTACTTGGGAGGTTTGGTGATGGGAAAGGAAAGCACATGCTTGGCTTCCTGCTTAGTGGTGACACAGACCCCTCAATCTGTCCCCCACCCAAGCTCTGCTGCCTTCCTCCATCTTTCATTGTGCTGGCGCCATTTGCACACTAAGGCAAACTTTGAGGGTGACACATAGGGAGAAAACAGTTGGGAGACACTGGATTGCTGCTCAAGACCAGAAGATATCGGTGGTGCCTTACCAACAGGAAATCTTGCTGGCTTTGTATCATCTTCCCCAGATGTCCAAACACAAACAGGTTTCCTTTGAGCAAGGAAAGAGGGAAGAGCATCAAAACTCACAAAGCACAGGCTGGTCTGAAAATGAAATTAAAATAATGGAATCATGGAGTGGCCCGGGTTAGAAAGGATCCTAAAGATTACCTTGTTCCATCCCTCTGCTATGGACAAGGACATCTTCCACTAAACCAGGATGCTCAGAGCTCCATTCAACCTGGCCTTGAACACTTCCACAGATGGGGCATTCACCACTTCTCTGGGCAACCTGTTTCAGTGCTTCACCATCCTCACAGTGATTATCTTCCTAATATCTAATCCTTAGATAACTTCTTATTCCGAAACCTCCAAAAACCAAATCTAGATGAAAGCAACTAATGTAAAGAACCACATACAGTCACTAACAACACCTGGATTTCAGTTGTCCTGGTCAAACCAAAGTATTTTTGCCACATCATCAAATACATTCTATATGTGCATTCTTTATTCAGTAATGATTTCTTTATACATGGCTGTGGTACACCCTGAAACATGCAGCTCACTAATTAACTGACAGCCACCTGGGATGGCAATTAGCACAACAAAATCTGGAGCAAATCCATAAGACTGATCATGGGCTGTACATGCATGAATCACTGCAAACAGGCAGCCTCAATGGTTTTTTAAGGAGAAAACATGCATTTCAAGTTGAGTGAAGGGAGGCTGTCCAGGACTGACACATGTGAGAAATCAGGCTCTGGTTGTGCAGGAAGCTGCAGGCTTGAGATCCCCAGCCTTCAAGCTGGTTGAGTGGCAGCACAAGGATCTGCCTTTCAATACCACATGAAAGAGCTGGAACTCTTTTATCCCATGGAAGAATGGCTTCCCAGTGCTGTCTCTCAAAGCTATCCTGCCAACAGACCATAGACTGGAGGTTTTGTGATGAAGAACTACTGATCTGGGACCTGGGATCTGGGACCACTAAACCAAAGTGAAGACAAGCTAAATTTGGGTGAAAGACACTCTGTGCACACGCAGGAGGGCTGCTAAGTTGACACAGAGCTTTCTGATATGGCACCTACTCGGTTTGAGGCTCTTGGGAGTTTAGTGCCTTCCCTCCTTTGCTTCCATGAAAAATTACAATGACTGGGCATTGCTCGTGCAGCTCCACACTGTGCATTTGCTGCTGATGGGTGAATTTAATCCTGCTGGAAATGCAGAGGTAGGCTGCAAAGGATGAACTGTTTCCTGCCAGCATTTCAGCTCCTTCGTGCCTGCTCAGGGGCTTTGCCTAAAATCGGTGACAATCTGCCCACTTCTGTACCTAATTGCCATAAACATGTGAAAACAGACCACAGCACAGTTAGCAATTCTCCCTTCATTATGCCAGTGTGCTTCTCGTAGCATAATCATGATCAACAGACACATCGTTCTCTTCTCACTGTTTTCATTTTGCAAGTTTAGCTTCTTTTTCCACTAGTAAAGATTTAAAAAAGAAAAGGTAGAAACAACATAAACCACCACCTTTTGAAGGCTGAGTCTGTCCATGCAGCAGTCTGAGTCTGTCCAAACAGCCCCCGACTGCAGAATCAGACTCTGCTGTACCCAACACCAGCAAAAATAAAAAGCACATGGTTTGAAAGAAAACTTGGTGCTCATCACAGGCAGCTCAGATTCTGCACTTCATCAAGGGCCAATTCGCACTAGGATTATTAGTTAACCAGCTATTTCCTTCCTCATTGGCTTTTAACCATTTATTGTTTATAGAGCAGCCTGGGAAGCTCTGCAATAGACACTACAGCATTTAGAAAGCAGCAGGAGTCACCCTACAGGAGTAAGTTAAAGCTCAGCATGTGCCCTTCAGCTGGAAATCATAAATTATCCCTGGAAACATAGAGCTGACCCATGAGCTGGAAGACAGAAAACAAGAGGGCACCTTTTCTACTCCCTGGGGAGAGGGCTTCCAATTGACAACCATCATTCAGGTGATGTAAATGCAGACATTTTTGCTAATCTTATGCTAAGTTTGATTTCAGATTTTGCTTTTGCCTGCACAGCCTTTTATTCACTCCTCTCTCTCCTCCCTGTCTTTGAAGGTTGCCTGCCCTTGAGAATCTCTTCTTCCTTTCTCTAGAACTATTTGCATTCTTCCTCAAAATGTTGCTAATACAGTCTCCCATCCCATCATCCCCAGCTTGCCAGTCAATGCATGCTTTTTGAGAAATAAAAATAAAGCAAATTCAGGGTGTTAATAAAACTTATGATCCAGAGACAATATTTGCTTTGGCTATTGTACAGAGAATTTAAGAAGCTGGGATCTCCAAGTTTTAGGAACTAAACAGCTGTTACATAGTATACTGCTTTTTTTTTGTAGAACTGTTCAGAAAATACTGGTCTGAAGTCTGGAGTATTTATTCCAGGACTAGTGAGTACCAGCAGCTGTGCGTGAGGTTTTCAAAAGGACAAAGGATGTTTGTAATTTGAGCCCAGTTTATTCTGTAAAGCAGGTTTGGATTTAGGAATGAGTCCAGGTAAGTTTGTGCACTATGCTGTTTTACAGGACAGCAAAGCCAGTGGCTGACTGACACCTCTGAGGGCTGCAGCACTGACTCCTGTGCCAGACAGGCTGGTGGAGATGAGAATAGCCAGGGCTTCCTGGGCTTCCCATTCCCACTCATTGGAGGCCTGGCCACCTGTCATGGACAGCAAAGGCAAGTACTCAACAGTGGTTCAATATCAATTACCAAAATTAGTCTGTCCTATGGCAAAGCAGATTTTCAGGACAATTTAACTATTTGTGCCTCCATCTGGTCTGTTTGATGCTGTTAAAGTCCTACTCAAAATGAGTCTGTTTTGGAACACAGCACTGGTAATGGATACACAGATACTGTAATGAGATCACCACAGTTATCAATGCAGATGAAGTCCAGCTCCTGAGACCTGAGCCAGCAGAAGGGCTGCACATCAGAGCTGGATCCCCAGGCTCTCTCAAAGCTGAAGCCCTTGTAGCACAAAGACCAGCAGTCCCAGAATAGCATCGTGTTTGCCATGTCTCAGCCAGAAAAATCTCACTTTGGACAACCTGTGAGTAAGTGTGAATCCAAACCCAAAACTCTGACACCACAGTTTCCATAAGTGACTCTTCTGCTCATCCCCTGCCATGGCCAGGGGTGTTCCGAGGGACAGTCCAGACTCAACCTGGAATCCAACCAGCTCTCACTCCACTTCCTGAGGTCTAGCAATGAGCACACCTTTACTCTCAGCTCTGCTTCTCACCCACACCAAAAAAATCCCAGTATGAGCATCCATTCCCCCAGCTTAGTGGGAGGAAGGTGAGCACCACCCCCCCACACTACACAAATATTTCTGCCTGCCACTCTAAGACTTTCATGCGTTTCTTCCACCTTGCCTTTTCTCACTGGAGCTTGGAAGAATGCATCTTGCTTTAAAAATCCAAACCAGTCTCATACAGAGAAACCCGACCAAAATTGGCCATGCCACTGCACTTGCCTTTTCCCCAGAGGGGAGGATGCAAAAGCAAACAAAACGTGGCAGATGTTTGTCATGGTGTTTAACGTGCTGCTGGAAGGGGTTCAGATCCTGTTGTGGTGAGAGCTCAGAAAGCTACAGTGCAGAAGCCAAACACTTCAAGATGAGCTTTTTGTTTTGAAATACTTCCAGATGATGCGTCACAGAACTAATTTAGGCAAGAACACATTTCCCTAAGCAAGACAATGATAGAACATTACATTAGGCAGTTACTCTGAAATCCCACTACCTGAAAAGACAATTCCCCACCTGAAACAGAGTATCAAAATAATTCAATTTTTTTCATCAAAATGGAAAAAATATGACAATTTCTACAGCAAAGAGCCATCAGATGGATATATGGGCCATCCAGCATATACAGATCTTTGGAAATTACAAGTGGTCTTTTCCAATAATGTTGAGTTAATACCTACCTACCTCAGCTTTTTTTCTAAATTGCAGTGACACACATGGTTAAATTCTCAGCTGTATTAAAAATACCCTGAGAAAAAAAAACCCCACTCACAATTTGTATATGTTGCATTATATCATCATTTGACTTTAGGATGTTGGAATTTGTTTTATCAGAATTTGACACTGTCTACTTGACTCAAACACACAAAACATGTAGTAAAACCACCAAAAATGTCATGCCTGTGAGCTTCGAAGCAGCACAAAGCTTGACTATTTTAATACATTTTTTAATCTTACAGAACTGCTTACCCATTGATTCAGCCTGTTCACCCAGGATCATTCTGTCACTGTTGCTTTGAGTTTTAATGCATTTCTCTCTATGCAGTAATTGAAAAAAAAATACATGTAACAACATTTCACAGCCTCTGGTTAAGGCTTCAGAGCTTCCTTGTGGTCGTTGTAGCGCATCTCTTTAAAAATGTATAATGCTAATGAGAAAGCCGAGCCTGCTGGCCAGAACGGCTCTGCAAAGGTGTGAGGCAGTTCAATAAGCAAAAATTCTCTACTAAGGAAAGCATGGACAGAAACTACTTCGTACTTCTGGTCTCAAGGTTTTGATTCAAGCACAGTGTCACAAGTGATGTACATCCAACTGCTCCTCCCAGTCAGGGAGCCCCAGGGAGGGAATTCTCACCCTGGGAGATGGGCAGTAGTTGCCTGGTGCCTCTTACACAGTGCCCCACTAGAAAAATACAACCAAACAAACTCCCTGGCAAACAGGGAGCCATGTCCAACCTGCGACAGAAATATCCTGGAACGGTGCCTGGGACAGCGGAGACATGGCTGGAGCGGGCAGCCCTACAATTCCCTACAATAATGATACAATCTGTGGGGAAATTTTCCCAGAGGAGAGGCAAATCCCATTCCTGTTGTAGCAACATTCCCCACAGCAACGTGCAATTCCAGGATAGAAACCATTCCATGCCAAAGCAACAAAACTCAACACGTGGTGAAACAAGTCGCCAAAGCCCAGGATGTTACTTAAATACAGTAAGATTTTTTAAAAATTGCTCATTATGTACCTTCTCTTACCAATGCCTTTAGATTTTGAATGTTCCATTGAAGCAGTGCTCTTCAACAAATCCCAGAGAGTGACCTGCACTTTCAGGGCCCAGGGCACACTTAAAACAGCTGATGAAGGAGGCGAGGGATGGGTCTTTGTTCAGAGATCCTAAAACCATTTATTACCACAAGAACAATCCAGGGACAAACACACAGCAAGGTGGAGGCCACAAAGTTAAATATGTGGGGAAAGGGGTGGATCTGAGAGTCAAGGACCAATGGGAACAGGGAAAAGTGGTGCAGGGGAGGGGCAGCAAACTAGGGGAGCCGGTGGGATAACAGGGGCGGAACACTGTGGCAAACTGGGGCCAATGGGCATCAGGAGAGGGGAGAACATTCTAGGGGAATGCAAATATGGTAAAAGGGGGCTGGACGGGGCTGACATCAACTGAGTACACCAATGAAACTTCAAATATTAACATGTGCCCACAGAGGCTTGTGTGAGGGAGGCTCTTCTCACCCTAACCTAGAGGGGTGTTTCTCCTTACTTCTTTCTGCCCCTCCACGGGTGAAATCTTATAGCCCCAGTGGCAGGCCTTTGACCCTCCATATTCCTTCTTTTCTCTGGGAAGAGGGAGGGAGAAAAGCTTGCACTTTCTTCCTTTTTCTTTCCTGGAAGAAAATGTGCCTTCTCTCCAGGTCATACATTGAACAAGCTATTTTTTAGAAATTGTATAAGATGGTTTGGAAATCAGCAGGCAGATCTAGAGTAGCATTCAGGTTCCTTCTTCATGTTGAATTTAGGATTACAAGGATCCAGGTATAATTTCATTTAAAAAATTAAAAGGAGCAAAGATAAACAGTCAAAATTAGTATGCAAAGTAGAAGCTGTATTTTTTTCTGTGCAAATATTAATTTTACAAAAATAAGTAGAAGCAGTATTCTTAAGAAAACAGTTTTTCCTTTTAAGCAAAGACTATTAAAACAAAAAGCTCTTTGAAAAAAAATCCTAACCAAATACATCTGACAAAATATCCAAGTCTTTCTTCTTTCCTTGCTTCTCCCCCTTCCTCCACGCTGTTTTCTCTCCGTTAAGGGAATTGTTTTATTTTCTGTTCTTTTGTTGTCACATATGGGGGGCCCTTAGTGTTGTTTCCTTCAATATATTTTAGCCAACATGGAAGATGATGTATTGCAAAGCAGATTAAGATCTAGGAAACCAACATGAAAGGCTAAAAACAAGTTACTGCAAATCTGAATCTGGTAAGATTTGGGACAGAAACTGGAGTCAGAGCTGGTGCTTGGGGGCAGCTCTGTGGGTGCTGGGTCAGGCCTTTGCTGGTCCCTGACCTTACCTGGGGGCAGGTTCACCATCCCCTGTGTCACCAGGGGCTCTGTCCACCCACCCTGTCACCCACCCTGGGCTTCAAGGCTCTGTTTGGAGCAAGAAGCAGCACACATCCCTATGCCTACTCAGCAGGAGCAGCTCCTTAAACTGAGAGTTGTTAAAATAACCACTTACGTATCTGTTCTCTCCTTTTGACTCCAAATATAGTTCAGGAATACACATGGAGGACAAAATATCTGCAGGTGGGTGGAAGTATCTGCATCAGCTTCTTGGTCAGCAATGCCCAAAGTTAGCCAACAGCCTAAGCTGCTCAGCAGGCTGGAGAGGATTAACACATCCAGGGCAAAATGTAGCAAAGAAGCTTTTTTTTGCCCTCTTGTCCATGCTGCCTTCCCAAGTACCAGGAGAGTGGGAACATGTTAAAGAGACTGGATTGTGCCAAGTGTCGCATGGCATCGCTAAATTGCAGATGTGCCAGCAGATAATTTAGATAAACACCAAGAAGCACATAAGAATTATCAGCCATGACTCCAAGGATGACAGGTTGATTCCACAATTTCCTAAGAGGCTGCAACCGTGAACTCCAAACACCCTTTTTATTTTTTGCCCTCCCACTTGGCAACCTTCAGAAACTGGAGTTTAGGTCTCTTTTAAGTTGATGTGCTACAAAGGAACCAAAAGAAAGCCTCAAGGGGAAGATATTGGCTTCAGCTATTTGATCCAGGTTTTTATATTGCTATTCCAGGCCCAGTTCTGAGAAAAATAAATCCCTTTATCCTCCAATTCCCTACCTAATCAAAACTAGGCCATTTCACTCAAATAGCCAAGCCATGTTGCTTAACACCCACACTGATTTCAGCCCCCTGGGAGTCAGATCTGAGAGATTTTCCTTTAAAGGACTAGTCAGAAAGAAGAGTAGTTTGTAATTTGGCTGTTGCTGCTCTTATGAAGCTTTGTCTTGGTCACAAAATGTTACTCTTCCCATCAGGAAAATGAGAGGTACAGCAGCATGAGCCCAGACAAGCATCCAGGAACCTTCAGGTCTGGAGCAGCCTCCCTTGAAGGAAAAATGGATCCACTCTCGCCTTTGGTTGTTTTTGGCAGTGTTAGCAACGTCTTTGTCAAACACTAGGCTAAAAATATCATTCAGCACCTACAACTGTATTCTTTAATTCCTCAAGGGTTTTTTTCCCCTAAGTGCATGCATAGACATAGGAAAGCAAAACCAACAGATGAAACAAGAGCATTACTGAAGATGATTACAAAGGAATCTTAGTTAATGAGCTTGTAGTACACCTTACTTTCTTGGCTTAGCATCTCGTTACTACATCAGATCCCTTTTGCTTTGAAACACCAATAATTTCCAAAATTCATGTGAACATCTCTTGTGCCGGAGCGGCAGAGTCACCACTGGGGTTGCTGTGGCAAACAAGCTGTTCTATCAGCCAGGAAAGGAAAGTGCTGTGCAAACACGGAGTAATTCCTCAGAGAAGTAACAATGTTAGAGCAAGGTGAAAACCTGAAGTAACTTTACCAGTGAAATGCAGCCAAACCCGATTTCTGCAGTTAATGCAGATCTGCGACTGCAGCACATTCAATTTTACTACTTTTTCCAGGAGCTATTCTTTATAGGTTAAAATGCAAATTTTACTTTCACTCAACTGGACTGCAGCTCAAGAGAGGGGATTCTGCCCCTCTGCTGGGACCCCACCTGCAGGGCTGTGTCCAGCTCGGGTCCAGCACGGGAATGACATGGAGCTGTTGGAGTGAGGCCAGAGGAGGCCTCCAGGCGGATCAGAGGGATGGAGCAGCTCTCACTGAAGAAAGGCTGAGAGATTTGGGGTTGTTCAACCTGGAGAAGAGAAGGCCTAGGGGGGACCTAACTGTAGCCTTCAGTACCTGAGGGGAGTCTACAAGAAAGATGGAGAAGGATTATTCACAAGGGCCTGGAGTGACAGGACAAGGGGAAATGGCTTCAAACTGAGAGAAATTTGGTTTATATTGGATATTGGAAATGAGTTCTTCCCTGTGAGAGTGCTTAGGCACTGGGACAGGTTGCCCAGAGAAGTTAGGTGCCCCTGGATCCCTGGAAGTGTTCAAGGCCTGGTTGGATGAGGCTCTGAGCAACCTGGTGTAGGGGAAGGTGTCCCTGCCCACCTTTGGGAGATTAGAACCAGATGAGCTCTAATGTCCCTTCCAACCCAGGCCCTTCTATGATTCTATGAAATACAAATCCACTTCGGTGACATTTTTTTGACTGCCTTAACCTGGACTGTAATCATTCTCTTCACACCACCACAGCTGCGTCTCACACTGTGTCACTGGAACTTACCATGCCCATACACGTACCTTACACTTTTAAAAAGGTCTTTGAACAAATCAACAAAATTTTACCCCACTGCAATGAAGCCACTGCAGAATTTTTAAGGCACTCAACTTTCCAGCCAACCTGTTAGATGTCCTTTCTGAATATTGAAATAGGTGACTCCTAACAGCATGGCACACATGAGAACATTGGGTAGAATCAGTTTTTGGCTGATTATTCTCACCTGAGTAACTGTATGTCATGCAAATGCTCTACCTGTGCGTTCACAGGACAGAATAAAGTCAGTGTGCTACATTTCACAGCCAAAATAACTAAATGGTGACTGGTGAAATCCTCATCCAAGAGACTATTTCTGACAGGTTCCCCAGGGCTGCATATTGGGCCTATGCTGCTCAGTACCACTGTCCATGATTTAGGGAGGAAAAAGAACAGATCCAAGTAACCAGCAGTGACATGTCACACATGACATATGACACCCATACATGCAGTGACACAGGAATTAGTAGGAGAATAAGTAACAACAATGCTTAGCCAAGAGAAAAACAACTGCTACTGGAGACACCTTTTAAGTTGTTCTATTGAAGTCATAGCTAAAGGAAGCTACTGAGAATTTCCATCCAGGTGGCTGAGAAAAGATCCTGCTGCTTCTCCTTGTCAAAGAGGGGATCAGCTGTCCACTGCTGTGCTGTGTTTAACTCTTACCCCTTGGCCTGGAGGCACCAAAACCAAGGGAGAACTTCAGAGCAGCCAACAAGGCAAAGGAGATCAAGTGAGGAGACTGGTGGGTGGTAGATAAAAGAGAAGAAATCCCAAGAAGAGAAGAGAGAATTTTCATAGCTCCATCAGAAGGTCAGCAGGGACACTGAAGTAAATGGTGTTACCAGATAAGGGTTTTATAAAATAAGTATTCATAAACAAAACAAAGCAGAATTTTTCCCATCATTATTTAAAAGTATGATTGCTTTAACTTTTTTTCTATTGCTGATAAAATGTTTGTAATTAATTTCATTAGCCCATTCCTGGTTGTCAGAAGCTCCATCTGATGGCTGTGCCTGTTTAAAGGCTGCATCCAAGAATTTCAATACATAGTTTATTCCATGAAATCTTCCATATAAACCTCCCAGTCTGCTGTGGACTATTGGACATGCCAAAACAAACTCTCAACCTTCATTTATTGACAGGCTCATCCTCACTATACTATAGTGAATTTTTATCTTTTTAGTGGCTGTCATTTCTCACTGCAGAATAAATGATGCCTCAGCTTCTTAAAAACCTAAATGTGTTTCTGATACTGTTCCCATAAACTTTAACCGTTAACATTGGAAAGAATTTAATAAACCAAAGTTTCACAGTCTTGTTACCTCATTACAGTTGTTCCTCAGCACCACAGAGCTGCTAAGGCATTTCTCATCACTACATAATTTTCAGGCTGCTTCTCCCAATTTCATAGATGACAAAGCAGAAAGCTGCATAGCTTATGTAAATCACTGTACACCTAATGTCCCACCAAAAGCCAAATTTGTGATTCTG